GTCATCATGGCCCAGATTTTAAACATTTTAATTTCTTGTTCAAAGCTCAACATTTAGCACTGTTTTTCCAGGATGTTATCGAATGGTGAAAGTAAGTTAATGTCTTGCTACTTGGTCAAAACGTTCAAACATATGCATAAACTATGAAAACTAAAAAAAACACATACGGTATATATTGTGATGCTTTGAAACCATCAAAAGCAACTACTACCGTGTCCGATACATCACGATTGCAAAATGCCGCACTAACAGGCAATCTGAAACAAAAACTCAACATCGCCAAAATGAATGAGGAAAAAATGAGGGGAGCGAAGATCTGGAAAGTACAAAAAGAAACAAAACCTCAAATTTTTCTGTGACTTTAATATACTTGTGATGCAAAAACGTATAAAAACAACAGAAAAAATGCTGCTTGGCTTCCAGATTTTTTCAGAGAACTCCAAAAAAAAGAAGTATCATAGTACTAGTTTCTATTTCAAGCACTAACACAGTCTGTGAAGTATCATTAGTGACATCGACAGCAAGGCAAATATGCTCCTGGAATAGTATCTTCCATGCGGTCTCACAGTGAAAACCTTTCAGCACATTATCTGCCTGTTTTATCCGTGAATTCAGCACATTCTAAAACATGTTCAGGTTTATTAGTATTTCATTTTTTGTGTATAATTTTATATTTTACACGAACCGTTATTAATATCTTTATTACGCTAAGGAACGATTGCTAAAAAGCAAATTTCTTTATCTGAAGATCAAAAAAACAATTTGAAAAAGAGAACAAAGCAAAACTAACAGCAATGCAGGCGGTGTTACAGGGATGCCTGGGAATTCGATTCGCGGATCGAAGCACTTCCTCCAGTACCGCTTCCTTGGCGTTCAATTCATCCCGTAGTTTTTTCACGGATTCTTTCATCTCGGTCAGTTTGCTGTCAAGTACTGACTGAACATGTCCCAAACCAGCTGCTTTTTCATCCATAACCATACAACGATGAACAGAACCCAAGGCAAGGAACCTGCAAAAACCTTTTCAAATAACTCATACAACTAAAAAAAAAAA